AAGGGCTGGCACATGCTGCTGAACCTATGCTTCCACATGGCTATGACTTCGGCTGTCTTTGCAGGCGGCATCACCCTCACCAACTACCTAATTGTCTGTCAGGCGGTAAGACAGTGACTAGGGGGAGGGGGGGGGAGTGCTCGGGGTGGGGAAGAAGGATTGGGGGAGAGGAATGTGGCAGTCTATGCACAATGTTGGGGTGCCTGAGCAGAGACAATACTTATACTAATGGGCCTGACACCAGATCCTCTGCCAGCTTTATGGGAAGGAGGAATAAAAACACAGGTGAAGGTCAAGGCAAGGACAGGTGGGAAGTAATGGTACTAGGGGCAGCTGCAATGGGGAACACAGGGATAAGCAGAGCGAGGAGGGATGGCACCGGGAACTGACGGGTGAGGGTGACCCACTAAGAAGAAAACCCATGAGGGAGATGCCTGAGGCCCATAGGGAATATGGGCGGAAGGGGGGTGGATACTGTGGGAACCTCCATGGGGAACCATTGAGTAGGCTGTAGCTAGGAGATCACCCTGGAGGAGAAAGAAGACAAACTGCTGTGGGAAGATGACGAACATAAGGAATGAGTCAGGGAGATCAAGGGGGAAATGAAAGGCATTTTCCCAGGCAGCCGCTGTGCTTCTGGGACAGTTCTGCAGCAGCAGCCCACGCTTTCTTCCCACCTGTGAGATCTTCTCTCCTCCCCCACTGCAGGTAGGCATCACTCTGCACTACTCCTCGCTGTCCACGCTGCTCTGGATGGGTGTGAAGGCTCGAGTTCTCTACAAGGAGCTGACCTGGAGGGCTCCACCCCCCCAGGAAGGGGAGCCTGCCCCACCCACTCCCCGACCAATGCTCCGGTAAAAGATGCCCCCTCTCACCCCTAAATATTCTTCAGAGCTTGGGAAGACCAAGGCATGAAAGGGGACCTAGATGAGGACAACATTGCGGTCAGCTGACAGAGGACAGGGTCCATCCAACACATAGAAACTAGGTTTTTCTGAGCACATAGAAAGATGAAGCAGGAGCTCAGCTATCATCTCCTGATACAAGGACAGAGAGCATTCAGCAAAATGAATGTTGAGAGCCAACTTTGCCTTAGTTTGTGAAGGTCTCTTAGGGCACAGGTGAAAGACCCTCCTGAAGCCTAAGGAGAGAATGGGACAGGGTGGAAAAAAGTAATTTCCACAATGGTGCTTGACCTGGAAGCTTCTCACTCTCTTCACTTGTTAACCCGGATCTCTTTTCATCAGGTTCTATCTTATTGCTGGAGGCATCCCACTCATCATCTGTGGCATCACTGCAGCTGTCAACATCCATAATTACCGGGATCATAATCCTTAGTGAGTATGTGCCCAGCTCCCAAACCCTCCCCCCACCCCAGCCAAGACAAATGCCTAACGACTTTTTCCACACTGGAAAAGCCAGCCAACCAGGTCCTCTCAGCTCCTTGACCTCAACCCATGACTACTGACCCAGCCTTGCTTACCCCTCTCCCTGCACATGTGCCTTTCTTCTTTGAACAACCCCAGTCACTCATTCAGGTTTCCTCCAGAAATTCTTCTCTTTCTTACCCTCCTGACTATTCCCCATCCTTCCACAGCTGCTGGTTGGTGTGGCGTCCTAGTCTGGGAGCTTTCTACGTGCCAGTGGCCCTGATCCTGCTGATCACCTGGCTCTACTTTCTATGTGCTGGGCTGAGCTTAAGGGCCCCCCAAGGGCAGGGCCCCAAAGGGAGCCACAGCAGGGCCTCCCTGGAGCCAGGGGAGGACCTGCGATGTCCTGCCAGGCTCCAAGGCAGCGGCCCCCTACTGAGTGACTCTGGTTCCCTCCTGTCTGCTGGGGGTGGAGGAGTGCTTTCCCCAGGGCACCCAGGTGATGGAGACGGCATTTATTCGGCAGGGGCCCAGCTCGGGGCACTGGTGACCACTCACTTCTTGTATCTGGCGCTGTGGGCCTGCGGTGCTCTGGCAGTATCCCAGCAGTGGCTGCCCAGCGTGGTGTGCAGCTGTTTGTATGGGGTGGTAGCTGTAGCCCTGGGCCTCTTTGTCTTCTCCCACCACTGTGCCAGAAGGAGGGATGTCCGGGCTTCCTGGCAAGCCTGCTGTCCCTCCTCCGCTCCTTCCCCTCGGGCACTGCCCAGGCCCTTGTCGGCCATCATGGAGGACGGCTCTCCAGTCTTTGCCGAGGGGCACTCCTCCCTTAAATCTTCCCCCAGCGGCAGCAGCGGCCATGCCCAGCACACGAGTCCCTGCAAGCTGACCAACCTGCAGCTGGCCCAGAGCCAGGCCTGCGACGTGGGCGTGGGGGCCCTCGGGGAGGAGCCCGACGCCGCCGGCCCTCGGGGCCCTGCTCCGCGCCACCCCAACAACGTGCATCACGGTCGGCGGGGACACAAGGGCCGGACCAAGGGCCACCGCGCTGCGGACGGGGGCGGCAAGCCTCGCCCGAAGGCGCTGCGCGGGGTCTCGGCGGCGCTGACCGGGGCGGCGGAGCTGCAGTCCAGCGAGAGCGGCAGCCTGCACAACAGCCCGTCCGACAGCTATCCGGGCAGCAGCCGCAACAGCCCCGGCGCCGGCCCCGTCCTGGACCCGCGGGAAGGGGAGCCCACGCTAAGCCCCTCGGAGGGCAGCGACACCAGCGGGGCTCCCGGGCCCGAGGCCGGGCGCGCGGGCCAGCGCCGCTGTGCCAGCCGGGACAACCTCAAGGGCGGCGGGGCCCTGCTGGAGGAGAGCAAGCGCCGCTCCTACCCGCTCAACACCGCTAGCCAGAACGGAGCCTTGAAGGCCGGGAAATACGACATCAACCTGGGGAGCGCAGAGCCTGGTGCTGGTGGCTGTATGAAGACGGGCCTCTGGAAGAGCGAGACCACCGTCTAAGTCGAAGGGGCTATGGGAGCAGTAGGGAACACGCGCTCACACACACGCCCTGCTCACTAGTGGCCAAGCTGGGGGCCCTCTGGCTGTACCTCAAAAGGTTCCCCATACTGGTGGCAGCCCAAGGCAGCACCTCTCCTTGCCAGTAAGGCAGATGCCAACCCATGAACACTATTCCTCAACCCCACTAAGGAGAGGCAATTCACTTAAGGGAAAGGCATCTGCCCCTTTCTGGAGGGAGACTTTCCAAAGAATGACAATCTTTGGAGCACATTAAGAACACTGCTTCCCTTCTACCCCGGCCTTATCCTCCTTTTGTGTCTGTCCAGGATCCTTGATACCGTCCAGCAGGTTAAGGCCATTTGCCATCTAGTCCACAGGGGAACCCTCCCCCTGCTTGTGTGGGCTGATGAAGGTTCCACTGTTTTTACCCAAATTGTCTCTCGTTAGTTAAACAGAATAGGGTGTAGGGTGAGCTTTCTGGCCACCCTAGTTCTTGAAAGGCCTAAAGCCTTATTTTTTTTTAGGACCAGGGCCTGAGTCCCACGGGCTAGCCAAGATAAGGGGCACTGGTTTGTCAGCTAGGCTGCTGCTTTGGGAGACAACTATGCAAAGGCAAATGGGGAGGGTGGTCTTCAGGAGGGAAAGTGGGAAGAGGGCAAGAAGGCTAAGTTTTGTTCAAATAGAACCAAAGAAGAGTGGGATGCTACCTTTGACCTAAAGTGCCTAATTCAAGCTTAATATTTCATTACAAAACTGGGGTCAAAGATAAACCATCCTGAGACTTGAAAGTTGATCGTGCCATGTGATTCAAAGGAAGAATGTGAGTAGAAAGTAGAAAGAACCAAAGCTAAGGAACAGGAACTGGCTGTTTTAGCTCAAAGAGCAATAGTCCTGGAGGAGCCATGCTGGGGGCTCATGGTGTTGGAAACACTTTGTGAAGCCTAATTCTCACTCTCAGGCTTTGGCCCCAGAGGGCCCTAGAGAAAGAATTTCCTTTTCTTGAATAAAAGCATATTACAGAGCTCCAGGGAGTCATAACTACCAGACCCCAGCTCTGCAGGCTATAAGATGCCCCTCAGAGGTCAAACCAGCTTCCTGTTCTCACTGGGGCCCATGCGAGGCAGTAGCTGGAGCATTTGGTGGAGATCCTCCCCCACTCATGCTGCACAGCTCAGTTCTTTGCCTTCATTCTTCTACCCCCAGGCCCTTAGCTTTCTCCTAAAGAAACTGAGGGTCAGTCCTTTAGGATTTTTTGGAGGGAGGGAGAGGGCAAGTTGAGACCTGAGAAGCAGAGACCAAGCCTGTTCATGTTTCTCTGTTCTTGTCCTTGTATGTGTCACCCAAGGTCCATGAGGAGGGCATACGGGAGAGGGAGACCCCATTCTTTAGGGGTGGGTTCTGTTATTTACGCTTGCTGCACAGAGACTATATTAGAAAAAGAAAGAAAAAAAGCTTTGTATTACTCTTCCACATATGCTGGCTGCTGTTTACATACCCTGCCAATGCCTTAGCACTGGAGAGCTTTTGCAATATGCTGGGGAAAGGGGACTTGAGGGGAGGGGATGAAAAGTGCCAAAGAAAACGTGTTTTTTAAAAACTCGGGTTTTATACGATAGAATGTTTTCTAGCAGATGCCTCTTGTTTTAATATATTAAAGATTTGCAAAGTCCCATGAGCTTAGCTCTAGTTCACCCTCAATCTTTTTCTGTCTTTGGATTAAGGGGAAATATAAAATCCTCCTGTCTCACCCTCCAAATCCACGGATCTCTTCTGTAATAGGCTAGACCATTTAATCATTTAGCAAAAAACATGTTTCAACCTATGGGCATGATGAAATAGTATGATCTCAAGGAAAGAATAAGAGGTCCTACCACCCCTCCCCCATGGCCGGAATTATTCCTACTACGTCACCCTGCTGTCAACAGAAGAATGCAACCAATGTATTGCGGCACCCAAAGCATTCATTCCTACTCTTCCAGGGCATGATGCCAGTCACACAAAGCAGCCTCTTTAGCCTCTATCAATTATGTCACATTGTGATAAATGACACACATACACTTCTCCTTTTTCCTAGACATGACTGGTCCCTGTTGTAGGACTGCTGAATCACAGCACATTAGAGCCAGATAGGGCCTCGAGTTCCTTTATTCCAACACCCAATTTGACGTGACTTGCCCAAGGTTATGCTGCAGGCAGGAGCAGAACTCAAACCAAAGTCTTCCACATCCAGCACTCTTCCTACTACGCCACCCTAGAGGGGAACAGTGTGAGGTCCACCAGACCCCAGGCACATTCAAAGTCCTCAAGATAAGAAGCTGGTCAGGAAGGGGCAGGGGCACCTGGGACAGCTTGACTTGAAGCCTGGGCTCTCTGGAAGGCTTTGATCTCTCGAGGTGTGCGCAAATACTGCTCTATCTCACTGTCAGATATATCCTCATCCCCAGTAATACTGGAATCAGCAGGAGTGGGACAGAGCCGCTTTGGAGGCCTCAGCATGCAGGGAGGGAGCAGAGGTGGTGGGGAGCTAGCTGGCCTTTTCTTCTCAAGGGTCTCTAAGGTACTGCTCCCCGCCTCCTCCCCTTCCTCTTGTCGCTGCTCTTCTCCTTCCTCCTCTTCAGCTTCATCCCGAAAAGCCTGGCGCAGGAGAATGCACCGGTGCTGGAGCAAGTCCCCAATGTGCTTCACTACTGTTTGCTTATCCAAGTTCAGTATCCGCAGCCAGGCCAGCTGCCCAGCCATCCGCAAAAGGATGGCCAGCAGTTCCTGAACTCGCAGGTATGCTGGATGGGGCAGGTCAACACCTGCCAACTTGCAGAATCGGGAAAGGGAGCAGGTCAAGCGGCCCCCAGGCTGCAGCGATCTCCAGGCCAGGTAAGCAGCAGCAGTTATCACCGGCACAGGGTGCCTTCCTGTCACCAGCCACGACTCGCTTGCCAGCTCTACCAGCTGTAATGTCCGGGATACCATCTTCTCTTTGTCTTCCACAAAACTGACTGACACAGAGCGGGAGGGCTGGAACAGTTTGAAGCTGTAAGAACAAAAAAGAAAGGCCTTAGTCATTGACTTGAGGTGGTTGTTTCTTCTAATATAACTTAGGTAAGGAAAACAAGCCAGCTCTAGGCAGTAGGGAATAATATTGCCATTCCTCAACAAAACTGGGCACAATACAGACCAATAAAACTGGCATGATAAAAACATAGACAAAACCTTATCTGGTAGGCTTTGGTCAAAAGTTGAAAAAAGTCAAAAAGTATCAAGATTCAGTTCTAGGAAATATGTCCCATGTTCCCTTCCTCCCAACCCCTCTACCCACTGGGTACCTGCTACAGTAAGTCTTCACCAGGTCTGCCAAGCTCAAGGCAGGAACATCTAGTCCTAGGACCTTTACTATTTGTAGGTATGTGCCAGAGAACAGTTCTAAGTTGGCATACAACAGGGTGCAAATAGTGCCCATGGTCAGGGGCCAATTATGTTGTCGACAGGTGACCAGCACACAGCAGCCCACCAACACTTCTTTCTTTTGGAGTCGAGCAGCATGGAGGCCAGGGTGTTGGTATGCTCGTTGGTAGTAGGACACTGCGGTGTCCTCAAAGGTTGATGGTAGCTGCAGAACTCGGCACAGATCTCGAACTCGTCGAAGCCCTAGGAAAGTTCATAGTGCTATGTTAGTGGGTATCACGAGAGCTTATGCATAGTTTCTACAGAGTCCAAACCCTGTTAATGGAACTTCAAAAATCAGCTATCAACTCATATTACTTCCTCCCCAGACACTACAGGCTGGGGTAAAGCTTAGTTGAGATCATTCCTGGGGTGTAAGGAAACAGCTCATTAAGAACGTCTCCCTCACAACTCAGAGGCCAACATGCTTCCATCCAGAACTAAGTCAGATTCAGTTCAAGACTCTTGGGGTTACCCAAACCTCCAGCATAGCCTGGCTGATCAACTACCTCACATTAGGAGTTCTCCATAATGATGAACCAAAATCATTCTTATTTTTTCACTCCCAATTATCCACTATCTTTCTCAGATACCCCAGACTGAACCAATTAAAATAAAATTTTTTGGTCATCCAACTACCTTAAGCCTGATCTCTGGGAAAAGGTTGGGTCTTACCTCTTTGCTGGCTACGGCTGACCTGTTCATTCTCCCCTGTACTCCTGGAATACGTCACTTCTGCAAGACAAGGATCAGCAATAGTCAATTTAGTCACTCTCTGCTTAACACATCCTCCCAGAAAAGCCAGGGAAAAGTCAATTCAGTTCAATTTTGTTGCAAGCCCTAATGGAAAGGGTATATAACCTCAAACCACCACCTTCCCACCTCAAGAACCCATGAAAAAAAAAGTACAGGGAAGTTCCATGATGGGGGTGGGGGGGAGATGGATGAGACAAAAAAGTTCCACTCCTGGAATATGTTACTTCTACCTGACAAGGATCAGCAGGAGTCACTTTAGTCACTCTCCACTCAATGGAATCACCCAGAAAGGCCAGGGAAAGGTCAGTTCAGTTCATCTTAACAAGTATTTACTGCACGCACCTACTGGAATGGGTATAACCTTAAGCCAACATCTTCCCACCTAAAGAACCCATTAAAAAAAAAAAAGGACAGAGAAGTCCCCAGGGGGGGGGTGGGAGACGGATGATACAAAAAAGGCTCCACGTTTCCTAGGGCACCTCCCCAGCCCGATTCTTTTAGGGTGTGACGTGTGTGTGCTGGGATTGGGACGCAATCAAGGTGCAAACCTAAGGTGTGAACACTCCAGAAGGGTGGGAAGGGGCCAGGCAGCAAAGGGCTCTAAAGGCGGGGCTGCCGGCCGGACTGGAAGAAAGGGGGTCCCAGGGCGTCGGCACCTCGGAGGTTGCCCTCGTCCGCAAAGGTGGTGGTGAGCAGCCCCTCGGACACCACGCAGCCGCACTCGGCGCACACCAGCTGGCTCTGAGTGTAGTGCGAGTCCTCCACGAGCTCCGCGCAGCCGCAGTCCGGGCAGCGGCCGCGGCCCCCACCCGACATCTCGGCTGCACCCCCCCGCCTCACCCCGGGAGCAGGGGAGCAGGAGCCGACCAGGCTGCAGCTGCTCGAGCTCTCAGCGTCCACCTTCAGCGTCCTCCCGCCGCCTCCCCCGCCTTTTTGTCTTCCGCAGTTGGAAGGGGGACACTTCAGGGCGCCGCACCTTCCGGCTCTCAATCCTGGCCCTGCCTCCTGGCCCTGCCTCCTGTCCCGCCTGCTCCCGGCCCCGGCCCGTGCGTCACATCCGCCCCGCGTGCCCGTCCGCGCGCTGCCTCTGACGGAAACGGGAACCAGAAGGAGGAGGTTCCGCCAAGGCCCGGCTCTTGAGGGGCAGGAAGGTGAAGAGCCTGGGATCGTGGAGCCTGGCCCTGCCTTTGGGCCTTAGGGACTTCATATATTAGTGATCGAGGAAAGAAGAGACTTCTCAGCTCAACTTTTCGTGGTTGGATAATGAAAAGGACCCCCTTTTAGGTGTTTTAAAGTCACCAGCCCTGGGGTTTCCACCTGCCATCTCAAAACCAGCCTTTGATGCAGCCAGGTGGTGCAGCAGGAAGAGCGCTGGACCTGGAGTCAGGAAGTCCTGAGTTCAAATCCTACCGCAGACAGTAGCTGGGTGACCGCTGGCAAGTCACTTTGCCTCACTTACCTCAGCTGTAAAATGGAGATAATGACAGCACTTAACTCACCAGGTTGTTGGGAGATCACATGACATATTTGCAAAGTGCCTAACACAGAAGCTTTTACAAATTGCTTATTCAACTTTTCCACCAGCCTAGGGTCTGCGGCTGGTCGTCAGCCTGAGAATCCCCCCATTCAGTCGCACAGTGAGAATGCATCCCATCGTAAAATTTAGGAAAGGCGTTGTGTACAAGGGAAACTCTCCACCTACAAAACAAACGTTAACGCTCACATCATTGTCCTCATTTCAATTCTGCGTGCTTTCCTGATGCACAAGCTAGGCACTGAAAGGGTTCCAAAGCACAAGGACTTCGATCTCCAGGTGTTCTGTCCCAATCAAAATGTTTGCTTTGCACTACTGAGGTTCCTGAGGCCAAGTGAGTTTGAGAAATTGCAACTTTGGTAACTAGCCGCCCATGGTTACGTTCACCAAAAGGGTAATGATAATAGGTCACATCTACAGAGAGTTTTTAAACTTATAAAGTTAAAAACTGGCATGGACATAGTGCTTTACACTTAGAAAGCATTTTGCATGCTATATGTGATCTCACTGGATAGTTAACAGCCCTCTGAGACAGGCACTACAGTTATTTTCTCACCATTTTACAGATGAGAAAAGGGAGAGTTAGGGTTAAGTCACCCGCCTTTTGACACACAGGCAACAAGTGTTGGAAGAGGGATGTGTGTTTGTGTACTAAATGATTAGCACAGTGCCTGGCACATAGTAGATGCTTTTAAAATGTTTATTGACTATTGACTTAGTATTTAATGTTGGTGATGTTAATCAAAAGTCAACAAAAGAAGGAGAGAGAACATATCAGAGCATACAGGGCACTGAACTTGGAGTCGGAGAGAACTTGTTCCAAGCCTGCCACAGACATTTAACTAGCTGTTTGACCCTGGCAAGTCCCTTAATCTTTCTGGGCTTCAATATTTTTAACTGTAAAATGAGGGGACTGGGCTTATTGGCCTCTAAGTTCCCTTTCCCCTCTAAATCTATGAGCCTATAATCTCTAAAGAGGAAGAGGGATTGTTCGTTGGTACAATTTTAAACCAATGAAATAATAACAGACCTCACATAAAGTCAACACATTAAAGGCTCGTCTGGGAGGTAAATGAGAATGGCTGGAAGGACATAGTCAAGAATGTCATCACAGAAGGCAAAAATGGATTGCAATGGACAAAAAATACCCACAATAGATAAGATCTGTTGAATACCAGTGGATACCAGAAGCCTCTTCTTACTCTATGATTACATGAATCAGGATAGACTTGGTAGCTTTATCAGAGCAAAGATTCTGAGCTATGACCTACCCTTCTTTACAGAAAAATCGAAAGCAGGTTCCCAGTGAGGATACTGAATGAATGAAAAAGACATTTATTAAGCACTTACTATGTGCAAAGCCAGTGCTAAGCTCTAGCAATACCAAGGGGAAATTAGGAACAGTCCCTTCTCTCAAGGAATTCACAATCTCACAGAAGAGACAAAGAATATATGTCCCAGTTGCAAATCAAATGGAAAAAAGGTCAGTAGTCATTAGAGGGCAGGGACAAAGCTTATGGCAATGCATCTTCTTTAATGTCATTCCCATTGACAAAATCATGAGTTTTTGATGTTGAACCATTTGACAGTGCCATGGGCTATGATGCTGATAACTGTCTTTTCTGGGTCTTTAGTAGTTGTGGCTTCAATACCTGAAGAAGCAGTGGCCAGGTTGAATTTCCAGAGTAATTCCCCAGGGCAATGGCTTCAGGGGTTGGGCTGGAAACAGGACGCCAGAGGTGCTGCCACTTCCAGGGCTCTTGGGCTTCCCTCCCCATCTGTGGCAGCTGGTCAGTAGTTGGTTTTAGTAACATTGAGGAAGGAGGGCCGATTATCCATAGTGATTATTCCCTTCAATAATAGTTGTGGAAGCCAAGGTGTATGTGGGGTTGACCAGTGCTTGTCACTGAGGGTCTTGCCCAGTAACCTAAGAGTCAATTAGGAGAAAACTGGAGTGCCTAGATAGTTCCTGACAACTTATTTTAAAGAGATAGGTGGAACACCAGTGCTGAAATAAGGTTTTAAAATTTCTACCCAAGAATGGAATCAGTGCTAGTGACTCTGAGGCAAGTCAGAGACACAGGGAAAGGAAAAAATGTGTTCCAACATTTAGAAGCAAGTGAGCTTCAAAAAAGTGGGGGATAAACTCAGTGGAACTAATTTGCTACCTTAAATCACGAGTTATCAACTTGTAAGTTTCAATCCCACCTATACAAACTGTAATTATTAGGGAGGTCAGTGCTAAAAGCTATGAATTCAAGAATTCCCATGTTTTTCTTACCAAGAAAATATTTTGTTCTACCCGTCTTTCGAGACCCATCCCAAATTCCCAGACCTTCCTCAACACTACTTTTACCTTTCTCATGCACTTCCCTTGTTCATTCAATTCTGCAAATATGATTCAATGCCTACTATGTGTTAGTGTTAGTCAAGGAGCATTTATTAAGAACCTACTATTCTGTGTTAAACACTGGGGATGCAAAGAAGCTCAAGGTATACGAAATACCTTCCCTTAAGTAACATTAGATATGTATGTTGTGTGTGTGGAGAGGGAAATACGTATTTATGTATATTTATATATGTATGTGTATGTTACTTGGGGGGAAGCCAAGATAGATATACACAGATAAATACATAATATAAGCTAGAGAATGATGAGGGCAAAAGGAAGATAAAGGATTTTAGGAAAATTTGAGAAAGCAGTTCAAGTTTTATTGATGCTTAAAAAAAAAAAAACACTATAACCATTTCCTGATCATTTCTACCATCTCCTCATCCCCAAACCCCACTGAACCCTTGTAATAAAGAAAAACAGTGAAGCAAAACCCACCTCAAAGGGCCTGCATCTGGAAGCTTTGCAACATCGGGCATCCATAGTCCCCCACCTCTCTGGCAAAGAAGGAAATTGTGTTTGATCACCTGCCATCCTAGACTAAGATGGAACCATGCAGCTAATCAGCCTAGCTCCCAGTTAGGGTGGTTATCATTTACGTTATTGGAGGCCTTCTTTTACAAGAAGCCTTTCCCAATCCCCCTTACTGCTAGTGCCTTCCCTCTACTGATTATCTGCAATTTGTATATGATTGAGTAGTCATTGTGTTCCTTGTTCTTCAGGTTCTAATTTCTTCATGCCGTGTCATTTCCCATCAGCTGCTCTGCTGGTTTTCCATTCCAAGAACGTCGGGCCTCCTCCAGGATGTCCTGGAGATTGATTCAGCCTTGATAATCAAAACCTCCTCAGCAGCCTCAGTTGCTTCTCCCTTCTGACTGGAGGGCTGGAGGGAAGTGCAATGAACTCCTTCCAAAGCCTTTCTTTATATTGTATATGTGTCATATTATATTATAAATGTGTCATCTTCCCCCATTATATTATAAGCTCCTAGAGGGCACAAACTATGTCTTTTTCTCATTTGTATCTTCAGCACTTAGTCGATGCTTAATAAAAGTTTATTGACTATTATCAGTTCATATAGGTTTTCCCATGTTTCTCAGAATTCCTCACATTAATCATTTCTTATAGCAAATCTAATATGCTATTTTATTCATATACAATTTGTTCAACCATTCCCCAATCAGTGGGTGCCCAATTTCTTTACGTTTTTTTGCTATCAAAGGAAATTCTGCTATGACTGTTTTGTTGTATTTTCTGCCATTGGCTTACATAGGATATATGACCAACAGTGGGGTCATTCAGCCAAAGGATATGAACAAGTTCAATAACTTTTTTCAGATATTTAAAATGATGCTTTAAAAAAAATAACTATCAATTCCCAATACCCAGCCCCCCACACACACACCTAAAATCCTCGTTTATAACAAAGAGAAACAGACAAAACAAATCTTTTCTGAAATTCCTCAGTTTTCCAGAGCAGTTGGACATTCATATCTCCACCAATAATGTGTTAGCGTGCCTATCTTTCCATTGCCCCTCTGACATTGATCATTTTGATCATTTTCCATAGGATCATGGATTTAGAGGTCTAAGGGTCCTTAGAGATCATCTAATCTGATCCCTTCATTTTACAGATCAGGAAATCAGGGCCTAGAAAGGTTAATTGACTTGCCCACAGGTATTGCTCAGCAAAGCCAGGATTCAAACCCAAGTGCTCAGACTCCAAGTTGAGCATTTGCTGAGTATAAAGTAAAACATTAATTGTTTTAATTTGCATTTCTCATTATTTGGAGTTATTTTTCCCGTTGATCATTTGTACTTAACTCTTTTGAAAACTGTTTATTTGTATCCATTCACCACTTACGGGGGGGAATGGCCCTTGGTTTTACA